ACTGAGGGATGCGGAGCGGCAGAGGATGGCGGCAAGCGGAGATGGGGAGGAGGTGGCGATCAGACGACAGCCTCATTCACACATGCATGCCTCAGCCTCAGCACACATGATGCTGCAAACCTGTGCAGATCTGGCAAACAGAAAGGGGGAGGGGAAGTGAAGGTCAGCATGGCAGTTTCTCACAAACAGCTGATGCAACAGTGACATCCAGTGTGCAGGAGAGGCATAACAGCTGTGTCATGAAACACTCTCATCTGCAGAAGCACACACAGCACTAAAGCCGGACACGCACCATTGATTATGCTGCATTGCCACCATGTGACGACAGCAGGTTATGACAAAAATGAGCTGGGTGCTGCACAAAAGCTTAAACTCAATTTGCATGTTAACTAGATAGCAATATGTTGGTCTCTCTTAAACAAATAAAGGTTGATGGTCCTTTTGGTTACCTTCATCAGTGTTTATATGTAAACATCCATCCATCCATTATTTATACAATGCTTAAGGGTCTGAGGGGGCTGAAGCCTATCCCAGCTGACTGAGGGTGAAGACAGGGGACACCCTGGACAGGTCACCAGTCTATCACAGGGCTACACTTAGAGACAGACAACCAAGCACACTGACATTCACACCTACAGACAATTTAGAATCACCAATTAACCTCAACATGTTGTTGGACCTTGTGGGAGGAAGCTGGAGAACCCGAGAGAACCCACGCTGCATGGGGAGAACATGCAAATTCCACATGAACCGGCAACCTTCTTGCTGCGAGGCAACAGTGCTACCAACTGCACCACCTTGCAGCCCTATGTAAACATTTCTAAAGTAATTAGAGCTCAACTTGTATTCAGCTAATCATACACTGATGCATCCTCAGCAGATTCTCATTTAAGGACACACCTTGCCACAGACCAACAAATTCTGGCAAGTAACAACGTCAGAACAAGAGAATATTCCTTACAGCTTTGGGAACCTACAAATCAAGGGCTTTGCTAAAGATGCCACTATACAATATAGAGCATTTTTAAAGCTGTGCTATTTGACATAAATTAACTCAAAGTTTAACTCTTCTTTAATAACAGCATGACAAAATGTGTCTATTCTTAGCTAAAATGTGCTATATGTTAAATTAGATAATGTATAAGTGGCAGCAATGGATGTGACGAATCTAACCTTAGACTTGGAACTACAGTTTATCAGGACAGCATGGTCAAAGGAGACCAAACTTTTCAATCTTTACCAAATAAGAGCAAATACAGGTGCTTTATATAATTTCTTGTGTTTTTAATAGCCAATAAAGCATTTTTAGGCCATTTTTTTGTGTTTGATGGCTGTTTTGTGCATTTGAAATGCGTCTAATGGCTCATTTGGGGTGGCCAGTTTATAAAGAAAGTTTTGTATCAATTGCCATGTTTCTGCTACAAAACAACACTGAGACAGAACGGGTAAAGAGTCAGGTTTACTGTGTTTAAACTCAGAACTGAGTATTATGTAATTGCTTAATCGCATTTATCTGAGCTGACTATGATCATTTTGCATATCTGTTAGAACTCTTCCCATTCATCTGAATAAACAGCTGGATGAAACTAACAAAATGTCATATTTCAATCACTATTTCCACATTGCTTTCCACTGTTTGTGCTCCTTCTTCTACTATGGTTTAACTGTTTACCTTGGGTTGCCTGACTGCATTCCAAAAGGCATCTATTTACAATAATATCAAGGATTTAGTGGAAAAGCCAAAACCACAGCACCACTGTGGGCACATTTTGGTTTATATCACATGAAAAAGGACAGCCCAATAACATGGAGGAGGCAATTTATCACATGGAGCAAGTGGTTTATGTCCATTTGTGTCCACACTTCCCTCTCTTCCTGCTCTGTCGGATGTGTGCTAACTCTTTTATCCTGCTAGAGCTGCAGGGCAGGGCAGGGAGGTCCTGTCCACCCTTAAAGGATTGAGTGTCTCAGGCTCTGTACTCTCTTTGTTTGCATCTCTCTGATGGGTCACTCATGTCACACATCATTCAGAGGACCAGCAGCTGCTAATAACAGGAGCTCCACAAGGCTAAGCTCTCGGCCCTCTCCTCTTCTCCCTGCTACTACGACATTACTTTGCTTTTCTTGTCATTACAACCATCTGACACTCAAGTGGAGCATTACTACTGGACCGACTGATACTGTAGAGTGGATGTCAAATCTAGGAGTGACACTGGATGATGAACTTTTGCTCTCTGCAGACATCACAGCAACAGCCGGCCCGCGTCTATTGCTCCTTTACAGCATCTGGAAGTTTCACTGCTCCTCCCAAGGGGGGCATTCAGTTGCTCATCCAGCTACGAGTTATCTCCCATCTTTATACTTTGGTGAAGACAATTTACTTTAATCAACTTGAAATTATACTTTCTCTCCTTAAACTGGGATTCTAATTTCCGTGAAAGTGTGAAAACCTGGTTTACTGCTTCTGTAGATTTAGATTTCTTCAGATTGTTTTGTTGTAATTTAACTTCCATTTTCTTCAAGTATTACAGGGGAAAAAAGTATAAAGAAAAGACAGAGGCAAGTTTTA